AAGTGAAAACACATAATCATTGATGAGGGCATGTTCGGTCAACTTCAATTACGGTATGTTAAAGATGCCTTTGGATTCACACATTGAGCCAACTTGTCTGACTCCTCGCACATTCAAATAAAATGATTTCAAATTTAGTGTTTGTTTGGTGTAACTGAAATTTTTAATAATAATTTTGTTGAAAATAAATTATTATAAAAATATTATTTTTGTAAATAAAAAATAAAAATAATGTGTTAATTTCATTAAAATTTAAATGAGAAATTTTTGTTAAAATATCAATTCAGTACTTTTAAAATTTACAATAAAATAAAAAAATTAATTTATGAAAAATTGTAACAATTTTAACAAGTTGTAATATTTAGTTATATCCTAAGATAAAATGGTTTATTAATTTCATAAGATAAAATGTAAAGCTAAAGGCAAAACTGATTTTTGAAGTAGCAGTGAGGATGCAATTGAATTGATTGTGATAAGTTTACCCATCAGACCCAGGTGAAAAGAATTTTCTTCATAAAAATGTAATTAAGGAACTATATGCAATTACAGTGAAATTAAAAAAGAGATTCCTATCCATCTATTACATATTGATCTTTCCATGTTACTTTCCTAGCATGGTGAAAAAGGAAATGATGAATAGAGATATGAAATTTATAAGTTAAGGACACTTTGATAGTTATTTACAATGTGAGGTTAACTATGCCTTTACTTCAAAATGAATTGAATACCACATTCCTCTTTTAACTATTTACTTTATCCTCCCCTTTTTCTTTTTCATTTGTTTTTTGTTTCTTTTTTTTTTTTTCTTTTCTTTTCTTTTCTTTTCTTTTTGTTTAGTTATATCCTAATAACTGAGTCTTTAGCTTTAATGTTTAAATTCTCCATTCAGTGCTCTATACACCATAACAATGAAAACCAGTAATGGTATAGAATAATATACCTCTGGCATTTTGATATTGAAGTCCTCAGCCAATAAATGATGCATGGGCATTTTGACCTCCTGTTAATACAATTAGCAGCAAATGCATCTAATAAGTATCACTTGAGAATCATTATATATATATATATATAACATATCACTTAAGAATCAGGCAGAGCTCAACCTTGTAATGCTAATTGATATGAGACCTATAGAGTAAAGAAATATCTACATGACGTGAGAAGTGACGTGAAATTCTTTGGTCACATGGAAAATGCAGACAAAATACATGCCAGACTAAAAGAGACCAGAAACTGGAAATAAAGCAGAATCTAGATCAAATGATCTGTAGAAAATTGCCAGCACATGTACAACACCAATTTGTTTTGGACTTCATCAACAAGTTTTCTTAGCATCCCCTTGCTGAGGAATAATAGAATGCAAATCTAAAGTCATCTATATAATTAAAAGACTTGCCTCCAATAACAGATTCAATAATAGAACATTAAGGTCATTAATGATGTAATTAGGCTTACCTTTGAATCATTTTCATCAAAGATTTCTCCAACAATCTCCTCAACCACATCTTCAAAGGTTACCATCTTCTCCACCAAAAAATCAGTACATAAATATATAAAATCAATTAGTCAATAAAATGAGCACAAATACTGTTAAATAAGCAATCCAAAAGAGAGAAAACCCATGCATCGTAAGTTCTAGACTTTTTGTGTTCTCATGCTGCATATTCCACTCTTAGCTGAACTTTAGAAGAAAAATGATTTCAAAACATATGAGAGAGTATTTGAGTTTCATCTACAGGGAACTCCTATTTGTCTCGTTTACCATGTTGAACCTGAAATAAATGTTACGTGCCAAAGTTTGGAAGTTGTAAAATTTGAATAACATACTAATACTAGGTGCAAGCTCATGAGTTAAGGTATTGAGGGGTCATACTAACCATTTTAGATTTTAAGCTGTCAGCTGATTATCCTGGTTGACCTTTTACCATCATATGTTCCATGGAGTTTATGTTATGGCATTTGGATGCCAACAAACAATGAACAAATACTACTTTAAGTGGGCACAAAGAACATGCTAATAAAGAATAAGGTTTTATCTTTAGGACTTCTAGCTCCAACTGAAAAAATTTTGTTTACTTTTTTAGCCTCTTAGCAGGGAAAGCATGGCCAGCATCTAACTCTAGAACAAAGTCGAAAATATCACAAATGTTGTCCCTTATTGTTTCAAGATATTACAAGTTAGCATAAGTTGACGTGCGGCACAAAATAAAAATAAAGAAAATGGTAGAAGTTGGCACTTTATCATAACAAAAAACGTCAACACAATGGATGATTCTGCTTAGGTAAAGATTCAATAAAAGGCTTTGCACAGACCTCAACAGTTCCACCATATTCAT